TACTGAAATATCAAGGCACTTAATCACAAGTCCTATTTGTATTAAGGCCTCTAAGTCCTGAGGTGGGGCTGGGAATGAGCTGGACAGAGCACTGGGAACAAGGCTGGGCTCAGATCACGAGGTTTAGGATTCCTTGATGAAAGGGTTAGTTCTTTGGAACGATGCTCTAAGACCATAGGAAATTTCCTCACAGTTAGATGAAAGTGGAAGCATCCTGGAAGGATCTGGAAGAAGGTAACGTAAGTGATGTCAATTTAGGCTGTACTCCATGCCAGGTGTTTTGCTAGATTGTTTCCAGTAGAATATTTCCTTCAATCCTCACAGCAACCCTGGGAGGTCAATGTTTCTACCTGAACATGTGAGTTCAAACCCCTTTGGGAAGGTCACACATGGAATAGCTGTAGAAATATATTAGTTGGTGGGTGGCAAAGGCTTCCACTCCAATGTTAACAGAGCCCAAAGTAGCTGTTCCTACCGAACAGCGATGACATGCACACTTTCTGGAAGTGGACGACCTGGATCTGATCCACTGACCGGCTGCATGTCGGTGCAGAGTCCCTCCAGGCACCCACTTCTGCGTCTGTGTTCACCAACCTGCACCCAGCCGGGCACCGGGCAGGAGCTCAGTGCTCAGCTGGTGCTGTGTTATAACTATGCCCAGCAGGGGGCGCTATGCACCCATCAAAGCAGATTCCCAAAGGGGCCCTAACCCTTCAGATGGCCAAAGAGAAAAGCTACAAGTAGAGAAAGAGTAGCTCCCCGTGGAGGAAAACATGACTGTCTTTCAGCAAAGAATTTGGACATTGAATCAACATTCGGAGACCCAAAACTCCAGAAAAGGATCTGGAGACTATAGGCCCCGGGGAAGAGAAGCGTTGGTGTTTGGGAGCCTCAGCAGCCCCAACAGGGGGTGCAACAGCCAGTGTGAGGGCCTGGAAAGGGCTGCCAGAGCATGTCCTAGGCTGCCCCAGCCCTCCCATGTGGAGGGAGCAGATAATGGTGATGGTTGCTGGCATCAATCTTGCATCCCTCAGGAAAATGCAGGAGTGATGAAGCAACAGATCAGTTAAGCATTTTCCCAAGGTGTCCAAGTAAGGAGGGAAGAAGCCAAGATCCTACCCATTATGCTTCTTTGTGCAAGTGTCTCCACCAATGCAAGTGGGTCCAGATGACAGTTGGCATTTCAAATCCCTTCTGGCCTTTCATCATCATTCTGGCCCCCCAAAACACCATCACAGGTCACAGAGGCTCTGCTGTGTCCTGATGGAGAACATCTTGCTCCCTGTGTGGTGGTCATATCGCAGGTCAAGGTTATTCATGCCCGCCTGCATCCAAATGTTCTCCATCCACACAAAATACTTTGCATTGTCCCACTCAAAAAAACAAAAAACTAGCAATGCTTTGCAAGTGAAGCAACTCAGATGAAGCTTTCTTTAGGTTATTCAAACAGGAGATTGGCTATTCAAACAGGGATTCTTCAACTGCAAAGATGTGGTGAAATTTAGGGTTCAAGATTCTAGCATCATCAGGATCGCCCTTTTGTCCCTATGCCATTTACAGTCCCAGCCTTCCAAACAGGGCCTCAGCTTTAATAAGAGGGACCCTACAGATTGGGAAGTCATTTGCATTGTAGTTCAATCACCCTCAAGATCAGATTCTAGGTTTGATTTCTAGCAATCTCATCATTGTAACTACAGGACATAAGGGAGGATCTTCAGGGAGGTCAAAGAACCTTCCAGGTGCTTGGACTGTGAGCCAGGAATTTGAAGACCTGTACTTATCATTTATTACTCCCAGGTTCTCCAGCACAGTTATAAGGAGCCAACTCCAACTTTCAGGAAAATCTGTGATGACAGCAAGCACTTGGTCAACTGGAGCCTTCTACAGTTACTTAATTACAAGTATCGGAATGTGAATTTACCTAACATTTACCATTGCAAGGCGGAGCTTACTGGTATCCTCTTAATCATTCATGACAGGGTCACTGAGACTTACACAACCAATCAGATAAAGAACCAGTTCCAGAAAACCCAGAACCAATACTGAGTAACTTAAGATTCTGCTCTTCTAGAGTCATTTCTGGTACCAAATTAGTATAGATCAGGATTTTGTTAGAGAGGTAGAACCACCAGAATGGAAGTAGAAAGACAAATCAATCCATTTGTAATAAGGGTTTCACCTTACAGAGTTCGGGGAGCTGATTTCACAGTTGTCTTTGCATTTGATTCAGGAGCTTAAAATCCACAGGACAAGCAACTAGGGAAGAAAGAGAGGACCTCATGTGGTGGACGGAACGAGCAGGCCGGACTCACAGCATGAGCTGGAGCTCACAGGGACAAGCAGGACTCTCTGACCTCGGGAAGTGGGTGTCCAGCAGAGGTCAGGGCCCGTCCTCACTGAGCTATGCCCACGTCTGCCCACGTGAGGTAAGGGACCAGGCAGTGACTGCAAGACACAGTCACTGTCCTTGACTCCCTCCTCCAAATCACCCTCATAATCTCTTGATCTCACCCAACCAGAAGCATGGAGATTTTAGGAAAATATAGGAAACCCTTGCCAACTTGACACATTACAAAGCCACCCTAGTCTATTACAACTCCACTCTGAGGCATGTGACATTCACAACAAACCCAATGCAGTTTCCAGGAGAGACAAAAAGAAAAATGACTTGACTCAAGCCAGTGTCATCCCAACAGGAGAGGGGAGGATGAAACTGGCCCTTCAGGAAGGGGATATGCAAAAGGAACAGGGAAAATCCCAGAGGACTTACTGCTAGCCTTGACTCAAAGCAGTCTCTACACCAGCTAAATAGGCCCTGCGGGAGAGAAGAATGAGTTTGCATTTTGGAATCCACATTTATTTCTAATCAGCTTGAGGAAGACTAGGTTTGCTCAGTGATGAGCTACATCTATGTGCCTTTTTCAGCCTTGGTAAGTTTTATAGCAAATTTATAATCAGGGCACAAAATTCTTTCTTTTATAAAATGTGTTTCTGCAAGTATGCCGATGAGGAATTTCTTCAGCCAGAGCACTAGCCTGGGGCAGAAGTTTCCACACTGCCAAGGCCTTCTCATGTCTGTCTAGCAACCTTGCCAGGATTAATTCGGGCAGCAGTGAGGACATGAGTGAAAGCAGCTGGTCTACAGAGCCATTAGCACGAGGTCTAGAACAGTGCCGACCCCTCTAGGACTCAGAACACAGAGTTGCTGGCCAGTAAAGAGAGGTGGACTCCCCAAAATAGCAGTCCTGAGCAGAGTGCTTTGACCCATTTTCAACACCTCACCTGCTCGGGACCATTAGCCTGTGACCAGTCTGAAGAGGAAGACATTAAGGAGCAAATTGTATCCAGAGAGTCACCAAAGCAAAAACAATTTGGGCATCTACTTAGAAAACGTGAAGCCTGCAGCCCTAAACCTTTACAAGTCTGGTTCAAAGACTAGAAATATCGACACACTAAAAGAAATCTACAGCAGGTGAGGAAATACAGCACATTTGGAAAGATCTCTCCAGTGAACTCAATTTGACAAGGGGAAGGGCATCTATCTCTCCATCATGTGGAGCGAGGCATGCGCCTGCAGAGGTGCAGAAAGAGCAGCGGTAATTTGGTGGGACGTGGTTCAGCCACTCAGGAGCACCCGATGGGTGTCATGGAGGTTTTTCATTCTGAATGGAACATGCCAACAAAAAATAGGTGCAATGAAAACGAGACCCAAACATCTCAAGGACCGAACCATGTCTCCTTGGTCCCCGGCTACACAATAGATTTCATCCCATCCCAGTGATTTGCGAAGCCAAGACAGACACTTCTTTTTTGGGTCAATATCCTTCTTCAAACTCCTCCAAGTGATTTAAAACAGTGTTTCAAGTCCAAGTGATCCTTCCCTCTCATCACACTGAGTTCCTTGTTAAACAGCCAGCGACCATAAAAGAGCATTTAACAATCTGCTTCGAAACACCTCTTTTCCAGCCAAATTGCACCTATCAAGTTAAAACAGAAGCTCTTTGGATTCTTAACAAACACGCACTGAATATTTTATGGTTTGCACAGTAGTTACAGCATGTTGCCTTTTCTTAATTAGCATATAGATGGTGCCTTTCTTTCATGGCACGTTATGATTGTTGCAGTAATTCAATAAAAGGATCCTAAACATTTACATCGCGGGGCATTTTCATGAGTTATACCGACAGAACGGCACACGCACTGTCATACATCTGCTCTCAAAGTCATTGCTTTACATCCCCGTATCATCTCTCCCCTTTTAAGAGCAAGAAATAGCATAGCTGGAGCAAGCCTTCATTTTGTTCCCTTTTTGCCTCTCTGTGAATTTCATCCTTTCGCAGACTCTGTTCTCCATAACTAGGCTCCAATCAGTTCTATTGAATGACAGCAATTTTTTTTTCCTGAATCCCTCATGACAGACTAATGAATTGTTCTCTTAACCTCTCCCATTGGCGCTTACTATACAACAATAAACAACGCTTCCCCTGTCTGGTCACCAGCTAGACTTACACCCAGGCTTTTCAAAAACAAGCCATGACTAGTCAGAAGTACAAGTCTTCCATGGAGAAAGCAATGCATGTTCAAAGAGAAATCATCATTTCTCTACAGTGTACTGTCCCCCGAAACCATTCCCAACCTCAATGGCATATGGGGTAGAGTTCAGTTGAAAAAACTGTTATGTAAAACATCTCATGCTCTGCACTGTTAGAGCCATTTGTGACACAGTCACATGATCTGCTCCAGTTTGAAACCCAAGGCTCTGAGGTGCCTTCATTTGCAAAAGCTCGGCCACATCAGGCTCCTGCCTTCGGCTATACCCATCCTAGTCTCCAAGCCGCCTCCTTTATATATTGAAGGAGTAAGTCACAACTTCAGAGAAATTCAAGAGCTATATTCGGAATAATTCAAGCCTACAGCATCAAACTGATGGATTTCAAGTAAGAGGCTTAGGAGGACATTCTATTACCTTTAGATGCATTCTGAGTGAGCAGCAAACATACCTGAAGCAGTAAACCGCCAGTGGTTTGGAAGCTGAGGTCAGGTCAGCGCTTGCCTGGCTGCCCAGAGAGGGAATAGACTTCTAAGCATCCAGGCTCATTCTTTTCCAGTGGGTCCCTGGGGAATCTTGCAGGGAGACCTACGAGAGAGGTAACGCCAGCAAGCTCTGTTTCATTATCTAGGCATTGCAAGCAACCAAGGAAGCCACGACTTCTACTAGAAGGGGAAGGGATAGACTTTCTCTCAGTTGGAATTTCAGAAAGGGGAGATGAAAGGTCAGGGACCACACAGGAAGGGGGACATCAGAGCTGACCCGCAGGAGGAGCAGCAGGGTTCAGATCAGCCTGTCAGAGAAACACAACAGTGCACCAGACGCCAGAGCCCAGTGGTGCAACGGCAAGATCTTCAGGAAGGGCATTTTAAAGGCACAAAGGAGAATCATTCCAGATTCCAAGATGGAATAACAATCACACGTATTTAAAAATTATTCAGGGGCCTCCCTGATGGCGCAAGAGATTAAGACGCAACCTGTGAAGCTATCTGCAGCCACTGCAGCAAGAGTTCGATCCCTGGCCAGCCAGGGAGCTGTGCACATGGCGCAGCAGACCTCTCTTGTCTCACCTGCTGCTCCCCTCCGCAGTGTATTTCATCAGTCTGCCTGTTCTGTTCCCCGCTCTGTCTCTGGTGAATCCTCTCACCCCTCTGCACCTCTGGCCTGTACCCCAGTTCTTGAATGCATAGATAAATAAATCTTAAAAAAAAGAAAAAATAATAAAAAAATAAAAATTATTCAAATGTGTCAAGAAGTACTCTAAATATCTAAATACTCATACAATTGAGATCAGTTAACACCCATGCCATCTTTGGGAGGCAGAGACACCATGACCCTCTTTCTAGATGGGAGTTGAGGGAGAGTGGGCTTACATTGTATATACACAGTTTCCATGGTTACAAGAGTGATGCTCAGCGTTGAAATGGGATCGTCTCGGTGTAATCTGTGCCCTGGACCACAGCAGGACCCGTGGCAGGCAGAGGGGAGGCGGTCACCGAGGCCACAGCAGCTCCGGCTGTCCTTCCCTCCTGCCATTCATTCACTACTTATCATTCATTCAACAAGATGCCCTGCCTGGCTTCGGGGGGCAGGTTGGGACTGGGTCAAAGGTGAGGGAGCCCAGCGGACTATGGTGGAGAACTGTGGGTGCCTCGGCAGTGGGGGTGGGGTGGTGGCATGTAGCTGAAGAGTTGTGGCCCACACCCCTAAATCCCACAGTGCTGTAAATTCATGTGACCACCACAAATGAATTAATTAAACAATAGACTCTGCCCATTGCACAATTTACCCTGGTTGTGGCCAGGACGTGAATGACCCCAGAAGCACTTTCAGGCCAAATTGCCACCTCCTTTCTCTGAATGCCCACGTCTCATCAGCTCATAACAGAACATGCCTTAGACAGTCACTGCCCCAGCCCGAGCTCTGTAAGGCAGAAAGAAGTCCAGAGCCCAGGATTTCTCTACCGCGTGTATCTTCCGTGGTACTTGCTTTGTGCTTCTAGTCAAAATACCTCAACACACAAATAAAAGGCACTGTTCTGCTGGAATGTATTAATGATAATCATTTACAAAAATGGTTGGTCTATGACGTGGCTGGAGAGTCAAGGGGGTTCGTACCTACACACATGCTTGAATTTTCATCATATAAACCCCAAGCGAGTTAAGCATCAGTGCAGGACGAGCAAAGAGCGCAGGTCTCAGTGAGTCGACGATGCCGTAACGGTAAATGTCCTTCAGACTTGGAAATACATGAATCACATTCACAAAGAGGAAAAAAATGCCCTTTTCATCAGTATGTTCATATCCCCACACGGCTCCACTCCCTAAAATTTACTGATCAGTGACCAAAATAAATACAGCTTATCAGCATGCTAAGAGGTTTATGCTGCTTGACCAGTGAGTGATGTGGTAGCTCTGAAATGGAGATAAATCTACCACCTACCTCTTCATTTTTCTTTCCACCACCTAATTTTGAAGATGCAGAATAAATTAAAGATCAGCGACTCATTAAAATCCACATGGTTAATCCTGAACACCTACTCTGATGGATTCACCCAGTTACGCCCTGAGCTGCAAGATCGTGCAAACATGCTGGAGCCTTGAATCCACTGAAGAGTTATAAAATCCAGCCAGTACACCCCTTCTTGTGAGTGTTTCATGGTTTTTTCCCCAAAGTGGTAGCTCTCTGGGGAGCTGACACAAAGCAGCTGCTCTCCTCTTCAGAAAGGGAGTGCCAGTTGCCAGACCTGAAATCGCTGCTGGGATTACAGCAGACTCCCCAACCACCGCACCACAGAAACAAGCAGCTAGTCTGACATGTGAGGATAGCAAGACGGGCTTGAAGAGCCTGGAACTTCTACACTGCAGAGCCCAGTCAGCACCCCTTGGATAACACTGACAAGGCTTGAAATGAAGGTGATTTTGCTCTAACAGTGACTGGGGAGAAAGGTCAGAATGTGCCAGTAGGACAAAGAAACAGAGAAGACTCATCATTTTAGAAAGTTTGGTAAACAGAGTTGGTCAGGCAATCCTTACAGCCTGCTACCTAGCCACGTGGTGTGGTTGCATCTGCAAGGCTTGTGTTCAGAACAGGCTGTTGGCTTAGAGGTGGCCACTCCCAGCTGGACAACGCTCATTACCATATGCCTGCAAATGCCCATAATGCTTTGCATTTGAGATGCATTTACTGACTCTTCCAAGCTAATGAAGATTGAAGTCATCGTCCTAAACATAGCAAGGGCTAACGTTCAAGCATTGGGCCATCAGAGGGACCAGATGGCTATTCTAAAAATTATAAATTCATATATTTCTGTCACTCTATGGGGGATTAATCATTGGATGTTAGTATGGCTGAACCCTTGAAAGGAGCAACCCCTTCAAGGGAGCAGTCAGCATTAAACATCCAACACTACACTGGACAAACGACTGTCTATTCACTTTCTATAGAACCCCAGAGAAGTTTTAGGAACCATTCTCATCAGGAAACACTCATATCACCCCGTACTAAAGTAATACAAATAAATTTATTGACTAAATGGCAATATGTCAATGGGAGAATTTAAACCTTAAATGTATTCAAAATGCAGCAGACTTTGAAGTTACTATCACAAGCCCAAAGTCTTCTGGGCATGTTAAAAATTCAGTCAAAACTTTAAAAAGTTAATGGGCAAAGTCCAAGTCTCCCTGTATGGATTGTTTGAGGGCTGCTATTGCAATGCTTGAAAATCAGGTATAGTACAGAAAAATTAAACTCTGCCTAAGGTCCATTAATTATAACACAAGGCCTCAGCCAAACAACAGCTTGGCCTTAAATCAATACTCAATTAAATACATCCTGCAGTGCTAGTCATTAATTGCTCTGCAGCTTAGAAATAACATTCTCTCTGCTGTAGAAGGGAATCAAAATTGGTGTGAAACTTCAGCTTGGTTCCTTTACGATCATCTTTTCTCCACAAGGAAAATTAACTTCTCCAGTCACTTATAGTTCATCCATTTCAAATCCACTCAAACCCACTGAAAACTGAATGCAGTAACAAGCAATAGCTTTTTGGTTGTGAAATAACGTATTAGTTTGCCTTAAAGAACACACACCATCAAATAGGATTCTCAGTCTTCATAACGAAAAGCATCATCATTTCGACGTTAGAGCTTTTCTTGGGGACACGGGCAACTCTGCTGCCTGTATTGGAGGGAAGAGGATGAAGGCATGAAGGCGGTGTCTTGATCGCCACTGGCCAGGAACTTGTGTTAAAATAGGGAATGTTATCCCCCTGCAATGAGGAGCCACCTTTCAGCTCAACTCCACCCCACCGCAAGCAATTCATCCTGACAAAGGTAATTACCGGCGCCTGCCCACCGGAGAGTCATCTGGAGCGCTGATCGGACAGCAGGACAAAGAGTGGAGCAGAGGGCGGGTGGAAGCGAGGGTTACGGCTTTAGAAAGGAGGGTGCGCAACCTAGAAACTCCCAGAAATTGTCACCATTGCTAAAGAAGAAGAAAATAAACAAAGCAAATGGAGACGCCAGCGGGCAGGGATTGTCGGGGCTTGCAGATGGGGGAATGGAGACTTTAGAGAGCATGCTTGTGTTGTCTTTATCAAGTTGTATTAATTTGCCATTTATTTATAAGGCGATATTATTTCAGGACACAGCTTCACCCCTCAAGGCGTGCACACACTTCATCTGCCTTCCACCAAAGTTTCCAGTTCCGGTGGCCCCTACGGTCACATCCACCCCCGTCCCTTCTTCCACACACACACACCACGCCCCTGTCCCCCACCCCTACTCCCGGCCCTTCTGGGAACTGTCACCTTTTTCACAGACTCTAAGTTAACTCTGCTGTGTACCATCGCTTTGTCTGCTTCGGTGACTGGTGCTGCGTGAGGGAAGCCAAGCCAAATCCGCCTTCACTTTCCCCGCCTCTGCTTCGCTCCCTCACTCCCAGCGCCCAGGCCTCTCGCAGGAGGCACCAGCGCTTTTTAAGAGCAGAGGGTGTCCACTGAGCCCAGATTCCGCTGTTTGTTTTCACCCAGTCATCGGGCAGCGGGCATTTAAATCCTTTCTACGTCTTGATTATTGTGACTAAGGCCACGAAGGTCGGGTGTGCGCGTCTCCTAGGTCAGTGTTCTCACAGTCTTCAAGAAGTCGGAGCAGGAGTGTCGGTGCATTTCCACTGGTATTTTGTGAAGTGGTCGCCCACTTCCCATAGGGGCTGCTCAATTTACACCCGACCCCCAAGGACTGAGAACACCCTCTTCTGAAATGAGGGGGTATCTCAGCTCTACACCGGCTGGGTCAGGACATTGTCGGTTTAAACCAACAACCCCCAAAATACAACGATGTAAACCAACTGGTCTCAATAAACAGGATTTCAGAAGCCCTGGGAGCAAGCAGAGCTCCGGGGCGGACCCCGAGCAGAGAGAAGAGAGCAGAGCCTGGGGGTAGCTCCCTCCCCTCACACGCCCCCTTCCCAACCTGAGGATCAGCGAGGGAGCCTTCGGCGCTGGCCCTTTCCTTACTCACCGCAGCCTGGCGCTGACCCACTGCCATCCGATGTGCAAAAGCAAAACGTCCTCACGTCCTCGCTTTCTCCGAACAGCCTCAGTTTGAGTCTCCTAAAAAAAAAAAAAAAAAAAAAAAAAAACAAAAAACACTATTAATAATGCAGCCAAGACTCCCAGTTCCTCCTGCAGGAAGGCGCGAAGCTGCCCCCTTCCAACAAGCAGCAAAATGCTGAACAAGCTGAAAACGCAACAGCTCTCTTGGGCTCCTAAGGGACGAGGGGTTCATAGGTCCCTGACAGGTGCGCACAGAACCCCACGTGCAGAACTAGGACCCCAAAGCCGAAGGTTCTGTGGGCCCCTGAGCTGTGACGGACCAAAGGCTGGGGGCTCGGTGTGGGCAAATCTGAGATGAACCCCCAGGGGGGCCGGTCACTGGGAAGACCCACACTTCGTGAGTCTCGCCTTCCGGAGTTCCACCACATCCTGACAGGGACTGAGACAGTCACTCCTGCTTTCCAGACGGTCCGGGTGAGAGAAACCGCCAGCGGGTAGGATGAGTTGCCCCAGGTGCTGGGTGAGCCGACATGGATCTGGGCTGCGGGCCCTGTGGGAGCAACTGGGCTTCCAGGCCAGAGGGCGCCATGATCATGTCCGTCTCGGAGGGAGGAGGCCGGGAGCCCACAGTGGAGACACCTGCGCCTGCCGGGGAGAGCCCAGCGCAGAACAGGCTGCCACGCCGCTCTCCTCGGCCTTGTGGCAGCCTTGCACCCCCTGCTCCTAACACCCAGCAGGAGCGGCCAGGCCTGCTCTCCAGGCTGGCTCCCTCGGGCGCCGCCAACAAAGCCTTGCCCGCTTCAGCTGCACCCCGCGCTCTCCAGGGAGTTCTTTCCCTAGAGGCCAAGCACCCGCTCTTTGGGGTCAGGACCCTGTTATGCTTCCAGCGGTGGGTGGGGAAGAACCATCTTGACCCCCAGGCCCTGTGTCCTCTTAACACCGTCCCCCAGGGGAGGCTGTTGGCCAGAGTGAGGCCACCTGGGAGTCCGCAGTGGCCAGAGGGCCTGGGGAGGGAACAGCAGTTGCAGCCCCCAACCATCCAGCCCCTCCGCCACCCATCCTGTCCCACCTGAGGGGAGGAGGGGAGGGGAGGTGTAAAGGCAGGAGGGCACAGGGCAGGATCTCTATGATCTGAGCAGAAGGGGTAAGGAGAGAGTCCTGGAGCCCTGGGTGGCTTTTCAGGCTTTTATTGGGATTTACCAGGTACACAGCAGGCAGGGGCGCTGGGGGGCCAGGAGGCTGGCGGGCCTCTCGCCCCCGGCAAGCCTTCTCTCGTGTTCTGCTTCTGCTGGTGTCCCGGTGATGCCGCCCCTAAAAGCCCAGTCTCAGCCCAGGTGAATCCCATCTACCTACGCCCACAGCCTCCTCCAGGTGCCGCCATCAGGCATGCATCAGGACCGCAGGGTTCTGTCATCCATCCTGATGGCGGGAGGGCAGAGAAGCCTGATGCTTTACTTACCCTACAGAAGGGGTGACCTGGAAAGGCCAGGGGGTGCTCCCACCCAGAGACTGAGACTGAGAAGATAGGAGGACACAGAAAACCATGTTTTCTTGATTAAACATTCTCGTTTCTGTAAAAGGTGCGCATTGTTATGCAATGTTTATTCACTTCTTTGCATCCCACCTATTAAATCAACGGCCCATATTTTAAAATACCCGGGAGTGAGCAGCAGCCACGCGGGAGAGCCGGCTGAGGGGCGTTCTCCCCGGAGCGGGGAGCTTCCTCGGGTCCTCCATCTTCCTGCCCAGGAAGTGTCCACCTCAGTTCGCTCACGGGAGGGACCTGGTCACTCGGCTGCTCTCGGACCCTCCCGAGAGACCGGCTGTAGGGTAAGGAAAAATGTCAGGCTGTTCTGCCCTCCCGCCATCAGGATAGATGAGGATCTGCGGTCCTGAAGGCATGCCTGATGGCGGCACCTGGAGCAGGGTGTGGGCCTAGGTAGATGGGATTCACCTGGGCTGAGACTGGGCTTTTAGGGGCAGGTCGCAGGGACGCCAGCAGAAGCCGAGAAAGAAGCAGAGAGAACGTGAGAGAAGGCCGGAGAGCCCAGAGAGAGTGAAGACCTGCAGGGGGCTGGGAGGCCTGCCAGCCTACTGGCCCCCCAGTGCCCCTGCCTGCCATATGCCTGGTGAACCCTAATAAAAGACCTGCAAAAACCACTGAGGACTCCTTTACCCGGTCTGCTGGATCGGAAAACATGCCCTGTGTCCTTCCTGCCCTTACAGGAGGAGAGGGGCCCCGAAGCCCCCTGGGGCCAGCAAGCATCACACAACACGGGCTCGGGAGCACGTCCTCGCCAGAGGCCTCTCTCCCTGCTGGTCCCCTGGTCTGTTTCTGCTCAGCTTTTTGGTCCAACAAGGTTCTAAAAAAGCCCCGCAGCAGCACGAGTCAGCCCGCCCTGCCCATCCCGGCAGCAGGGCACCTCCAGCTAAGTTTCAGCAAAGGACGGAATGCATTGTTTCACATCAAGGGAAAATGCAGATGTGGCGGAGCTTCAGGTGCTGCCAAGCCTGACAGCAGGACGTGCCGTTCCCATCTCCCGCTTCTCGGAGGGACTCGCCTCACACAGGCTCACCTGGGACCAGCTCACCTGGGCGGGGCTCTCCCCAGGCAGGGAGCCATGGAAACATGGTGCCCTCCTGACGGCCGCCCTTCTGTTTTGCTAATCCTGAAAGAGAGATGCTCTAAGAGCCCACCCCATGCGCCCACCCGTGGGACAATGACCCGCGATTCTGGTCCGCGGGGCTTGGAATTGTCTCAGCCTCCGAGAGCGGCCGGCCTCCATCGCGGCAGAGAGCTGAGAGGGCTCAGGGGCAGGAGTGCGTCATTGTGGAGGCGGGATGAAGGGCCAGCGCCAAGCAGGACAGATGTCTCGGGCACACGACCGGGCGTCAGATTCCAGACACCAGAATGGGACATTCCCCCGGATTTGAACATAGTAAACAACATTGCCTGTCACTGCACCAAACAAATTAAAATGTCACATAAAAATCCTGTCTCCTTGTAAGCTCAAGTAGTCAAATATTAAAGTGCAATAATCTTCCCTTCAGTTTTCTTTTGCACCTTAATTCAGCCCCCCAGAAATCCTGCAGAAGGCGGGTGACCCAAGGGCTCTGTCCGGTGCCATGAGGCTTCGGAAACGCAGCCAGCTTGGCCGCCCGCGCCGGTCTCTAAGCTCCTCCCAAGCTGAGCTACCTCTCCCAGGTCTCCCTTGCTGAGACCAAGCAGGATGTGGGGGCCCTACCCCTCGTGAGGGGTGGGGTCAGGCTTCTGAAGGGCTGTCCTCCTACACCTCTGAATCACATGTGTGTCAACCAAGGCTGCCTCCACAAAAAGTAATACAAATTAAAATATTAAAAATAATATTTAGAAAATACGAACAAAACCTGCTTCACGGGGCTAACTGCCACAGAATAAAGCCGGGGGTTTGATATACTCGGGAGACAAGGAAAGTGGGGAGCAGTCTCTGCCTCAGGCTGTCCTGGTTTTTTCCTTACGTGATCAGGAGAAAAGAAAAACAGACTGAAGGTCCAGGGTATTCTCTGACTAACAAGAAAATGTCCACGGGCTCTATAGGGGTGGGATAAATAAAGACAAGTCCCCGGGTCGCTGCCCATGGGTTAATTATCACAAGGTTCGTGAGAAAATTCAATTACCAATGACAAAGACGGTCTATAAATATAAGTGAACAATACAATTTCCGGACACATATTTTCTAAGCCTGGCTTGCAATCTGAGCATTTTAAGGGAGAGCAAGGCGACCTCTGAGGAGAAGTTTCTGCTGCTCCAGGTGGGTGTGGGGATGCAAATTCGCAGTGATAAATTACAGGATCCACAAGGATTTCATCTGAATAAGGTCTCTTGGCTTCTTGGGGAATTCCCTAACAAAATTATTATTCGTTCTTTAGAGATTATTTACAAACCCACTTTTATCGCCTCTGGGGTTTTTAATCACTGACCGTTGTAACATGTATTTCAGATTTAACCAGGCAGGCATTAAAGTTTCCTCAAATCCCATTAAAGTTGGGATTTGAATTTCCACTGCAGGTTTGTGCTATTGTCATTTGCTCTTCCATGAACCCCACCTACCCCTGGGGAGTGGGGAGGCAGCCTTTGTCTCTGTGCCCTCCCTTGACACTCCCTAATCTGAGTGGCAGAGCCCCAGGGGAAGCAACTGATTTGGCCTCAGGCTCTGCTGACCCTGCCCTTCCTCAGCCTCTAATTCCCCGGGTCCTGGAAAACCTGCTCCACCCTGGAGCATAAATTCCTTCCCAAGGTGGCTTCATGGTTTCAGCTGCACCTCATTTCACCGCTCCCTTCCCCAGCATAGCTGAGAAACAGGCTCACGTGTAAAACCTTAATGTTGCCCCAATGTTGTCAACGCGAGAAGATCTGCTGCTCCCTACAAGGTTCAGAACCAGCTGTCCAAAATCTTCCCACCAGAGACTTGCCAGCCTCCATCCTCGCCTTCATCGTTTGCAGCTACAGCTGAAGAAATGATTATTCTATGATGACATTTCACTGACACTGGAAGTTTTCATGCTCACGTGGGCCTCTGAGCTTGAGGAGATGGACCTGAGCTCGTGGCTTTCAAGAGGGTTGGTCCTGACTCCTAGCAGGAGTCTCCAGCCTTAGCTCCAACATTTCACCTTCCTGTCCACCATGCCAGAGGACTCTCTCCAGCAACACCACAGCCACCTGCTACGAAAACCGCCTGCACCAGCCACGTCTGTGAAACCCACAAGCACATCAGACGGCTCCCTGCAGAGGACACTAGTAAATGACAGAGCTGGTGTCGTTTAAAAAGTCCACATCCTGGGCCTCCCCTGGTGGCGCAGTGGTTGAGCGCTGGGCTGTGAAGCTGCCCGCAGCCTCTGCAGCACCGGTTCGATCCCCGGCCACCGGTGAGGGTCCCCCATGGCGTGCAGACCTCTCCTGCCGCCCGCTGCTCCCCTCAGCAGTGTATTTCATCGGTCTGCCTGTTCTGTTCCCTGCTCTGGCTCTGGTGAATTCTCTCACCCTCCCACGCTTCTGACTGTACCCAGTGCTTGTATAAATAAATAAATAAACCTTTAAAAAAAAAAAAAGAGTCCACATCCTAACCACAATCCCATCCTGGACGGCTGGGTCAGTGGAGGCCTAGAAGTGGTCCTCTAGGAGAGATGACTCTTTTCTGAATAGATATTTTAATTTTTCAATAGGACAATCTACTGATGAACCCCCACCCTCAGGATTCTACACCAGAGATAACAGGCTCCATCAGTGCTATTCAAGAGGTGGAGCATGCACTAGTAGTAGCCTGCAGATCCCACCAGTACCCCTCCCCCGCCATCTACCACAAGACACGTGCAGAAACGGGATAAGCACTACATGGCTTCTAAACAATTTGATATTGTCATGTCCTCAAGCACCTGGAATTACATTCTGCATGCCTGTGAGTATGTGAACACTGAACAGGTCATAACAACAACAACAAAATCTCTTTTTCACAGGTAATTTAAGAAGTTTTGGCCTAAATGGTTAATCTTTGAAAGCCTGTGAATAAAGGTTTACTAGTTGATGAAGATAGTCATAGAAAATTCTCATTAAATTATATAAAGCATTGTTGTGAACAAGATGCCAATTGGTACATCTGTTAGGATTAGCTATTTATACAATATGTCCCAAAGTAGCCAGATGAATTGACCTATTTTAGAAAATGGTATCCAGTACAATGATGCTGGTTCCTAACTGACATTCTGAGGCACTCCTATGCACAGTAACTGGAGAACAGGAGTGATTGTCCATTCAAGCCAAGCTAAGCAGTAAATTAGCCTAATATGACCAATATCATTTGTTTAAAGTTAGAAAAGCAAAGTTTTTTTTTTTCTCTACAACACTACGACAACTCTTCTTACACCCAAAGTGCCTTCTAAGAAGGGTCGATAATATTTTGAGAGGTAGAGGGAGAGTTTTGTGAGAGATGTCCATGACATTTAGAAGTTGTATGATTTTGCTGTTCTTGATTTTGATAAAATTGATATTTTTCCTAGTGACTTGCAGAAGAATGGAGAAAGGATGGCAGCAGCTGAGAATAGCAGAGTACTGAACTTATCTCAAGGCTGACCAATGCCAACAAATGAATAATAACAGAATAAAGCTCAGAAGATGTAAGGAGTTACATGAAGTTTATTGAAAGAGGTTCATCAGTCTTTCCTCAAAATTATGTAGAAAAAGAGGCCAGAAGTTCTTAAGTCTTGAAATAACATTTAAAATGAG